CTTCCCGACTACACAGATCCATGAAAAGTCTTCGGAGATGTGGATATCAGTCTGTATAGGAAAGATCCAAAGACATGGCTATGATGGTGCATGATGGGCCACAAAACCGAGCAGCTGGTTGAATAGTTTCCAAATGATCTTGCACACTCTAGGGGCAAATTTCAACATTCCCGTGGAAGAAGTCTATCATGACATTTACAGTTTGCATTTACTACATTGTCCAAGAGTTCTATCTTTTCTTATGTTATGAAGAAATTTATTTCCTCCTATATTATGTATCTCCATTAGAAGTTATTTCTCTATTGTATATCTTCATTGTGTTATGTTGCTTGAAAAGTTTCAATTTTTACTGCCCCCTCGAAGAAGAAAGGGGGAATAGTAGACTCGGCTACCAACCTGAAGAGACCTTTCTTTGACGTAGTAGAGTATACTCCCACTCAACCTCCGAAGAGAGCAGCTATTGCTTCCATCAATGTTAAAAGCTTTGAGGATCTTCTTGCTAAAAAGTAGAGTTGTGTCTCCCGCCTCAGATTTCGAAGAACAGATCTCGCTTCCGCCAGTGCCGAGCTTTGAGGAATAGCCTTTGCTCCATTAGCTGCCGAAGTAAAGTGTGCAATCCACTGGACTTCCGAGGAGACAGCCCTTGTTTCTGCTCGGACTTCTGAGGGAGAGCACTCCGAGGGGACAACTCTTGTTATCTCATTAGTGGCGGGTCCGAAGAACAGCCCTTGATTTCAATCAATACGAGCTCCGAGGATCTTCTTTTCAAAGTAGAGTGACTCTTACTCGAATCCCGAGGGATAGAGCCTGTGCTTCCATTAGCTCCGAAAGTAGAAGTGCAACATCCACTCGGACTTCCGAGAGACAGCCTTGTTTCTGCTCGTGACTCGAAGAGAGAGCCTTTCCGAGGGACAGCCTCGTTCTTGCTCGGACTTCTGGGGGACCGCCTGTTTTCACTCGAATTCGAGAGACCAATCTTTACTACTGGTTGGTGCAAGCTTTGGTAGACTCGGTATCTTCCAGAGGAATCTTTCTTGCCAAAGTAAGGGTTGTGCTTACTTCGGGACTCCCGAGGGACAGTCTTGGCTTTTGTTCGGACCTCCGAGGAACAGCCCTTGCTCTCATTATAGTGCGGGTTCCAAGGGCCCCGAGGTCGTGGATTTCAATCAAGCGAATTTCATTTGCCTGAAATAGCATAAGCCGACAACTGAGACAAACAAATATTCAATTTCAGATTCATGATTCAGGCATTATCAAGAATTGGGGCAACATCAACAATAATAATAATTATCTATTTAAGCCTACAACAATTTTATTATCTGAGCAAGTTCATGAAAATGCAACAATCAAAGTTTTTGTCTCTCCGGGCTGGTTCCTCTCAAGCGACGTAAAACTACAACGGTCCACACAAAATTTTGGCATCAAGCTAATGTATTTCTCAAGCATCAACAAGTTAAACAAACAACAATATTATACATCTTTTAATTATTCAACGAGGTATTTTCATCATATCAACAAGTCCCTACGATGAAATTCTACATCAGGAGTTCGAGCATGAATATCTAAATATTCTCGGGGTTGAAACAGATCAATCTTCGATAACAAATTTATATTCAACAAGAGGAAGAGGGAGCCGAAATTTCATTACTCACCAAAGTTGGACTATTAAGCAGGGGTGAAAGTCCGAAAGCGATGTTGGAATTCAAAGTTGAATCAGAAAGGTTTATAGACTGTAATCAAACAGGACTGGAGCTAGGCTGGGCAAGACCACGCACGTTGCGTTTGGAGTGGGCGAACGTGCGTGGTCGGCGTCAGACAAGTTGAAGCCGGAATCAACGCTGGGTCCACAAAGAAGAGTCAAGCAAACCACACACGTTGCGTTGAGAGGGCGAACGTGGTGGTTTGCCATTGGACCGTCGAAGCCTGGAGCGAAGAGTTTCAGCAAGAGAGGGCCGATTGGTAGGCTGGTTCGGTCTTGGGCAAGGCATCAAAGGTGACATCATTCCTATCACATTCTCCACCCTTGACTCAATATTTCAATGCAAGCCATCAAAATATTCTATTTAGTTAGATTTGTCAACATGAGTTCAGAATTCTGGTAAACAGTGGTTCAAACACATAAGTGAGCAGTAAAATTTCATCATTCTCGGATTTAACAAGTCTAGCAGTATAAGTTCAGATCCCAAGTGAGAATTCAAATGTATTCAATCAAGCATTATCAACAGAATATTTATAGTTCAAACTCGGTGATTCAGCTACTCTATAAAAACAAAGATTAGCAAAATTCAATAATCGGAGCATTTCTTTTCTCTCCATGACCAAAGCACTAGCTATTTAGGAAGTCAAGAACACAAACCCAAATTTATTCTTTGCAAGCCCATGTTCTATGGAAGCAACAAAAAAATACATTATATACATATTTATGTATCAGAAAATATCAAAAAAAAATTTCAAGAATGGGGTTTCAGCAACATTTGCTTCACAAACCCGAGAATGACAGCGCGGGCATTGGCGAACTGGGCAAACCGCACCGCGCTGAGTCGGGGTCTGTGGTTGGTGTTATTAAATCAACCGGCTGAACCAAGGGCGATGAATTTCATGTGGGTTGTGAAATCAGGCCAAAGATCTGGGGGTCGGAACTCTGAAAGTGTTGGATAAGCTGAGAGGGAGGACCGGTGGATGAGCTTAAATAGCGCTGGGCAAGACAACGCATGTCGCGTTGAACGGGCACATGCGTGGTGGTCAGCGTCGGACAATCGGGGCAGGAAGCATAAGAGGCAAAGAGAGGGCCAGCGGTAGGTCGGGTGTCGGTGATAAGGACGACGCCGTCACCGGGAGTTGCAGCAGACGTGACGTGAAACCAGTGTTAGCCGAAGCTTGGCTGTTAACGGTTGGTCAGCGTTGATCAAATCATGGCTGAAGTTAGTGGCGAGGTTGGCAGACGTTAGCAGCATGACAAGCAGCTACCATGGCGAGCTTGTTCCAGTACTGGCCAACCGTGACAGTGGCGTGGGTCTTCGATGGTGTTGCTTTGGAGTGCCGCGACCAACATGCAAATGGCCGTTAGTCTCAGATTTGTTTGAAGAAGTCAAAAAGCCTGGTTGGTCTCTGTTTTAGAGAGAGGGCGGCTGAGTATAGGGTTGATTAAAAAGAGACTAGGTTCAAAAATTTTAAATGGTCCTATAGAAAATAAATAATGGTCAAGATTATTTAGGCCCAATAGCCCAAGATTAGTGGGCCGAATTTACGCAAGTCCAAGATTGGTGGGCTTGGATTTCGCCGTCAAACGGTGCTGAAATCGCCTAATACCTCGAATAGGGTTCGGATCACGAACCTAGAGTACTTATCGGGCCCCGGACTCGAAAAGGTATAACCAAGCCTAAGATCCGAGGCACTCGGACTCGAAAGGAATTCGGAATCCACGAATCTAGGAGATCCGAAGTTACTTGGCTTCGAACGAATTCAAACGCAATCTAGAAGCGCGCCCGTTAATGGAGTCCGAACCACTTGCGGCTCGGAGCTTTCCGGGGTCTACGTACCAGAACCAATGGGCGTAATGGAGTCCGAAACAAAGGACCCGATCCCGAGGACGGTGAGTGGAGATAAAATTCACTCTTGCGGTTTAAACTAGCCTAACTACCGGGTCGAGGGTGGCACGACCCGGGGGGTCCATGAGACTCTGCAATATTTTTGCGGCAGGACGTCCTCCTGGGACTACCCACTGACCCTTTGGGATGATTGGGGATCATTGGTAGTGTGCCTAAGAAGAAGGTTTCGCCGAGGGATTGATTCTCCTCTCGGTGTGTTTTCTCATCCTCGGAGAAGTTCACCTCCTCGGAGAGGTTCACCTCCTCGGAGAAGTCACTTCCTCGGAGAGGTCACCTTCCTCGGAGAAGTCACCTCCTCGGAGAGGTCACCGCCTCGGACAAGGTGGTTAGAGAAAATATCCCCATGGTGCCTTGCACGATGGGCTCCATCCTACATCATGAGGTGCCATTAAATAGCACCCACACCTAGGATTACAAGGGATGGATTTTGAGTATTTTTACTCTTGGGAAAGAACTAATTCCCTTCTCCATTATCAACCTTGAGAGTGAAAGTGGGAGATCAAATGGGAGAGCCTTGCCATTAAATCTATTCTTCTTAGCCATTTTGCCTTCTTCTTCACCCAATCTCTTATCTCCCATCATCCTCCTTTTTTGTTGGTTTCCAAGTTGAGATTATTGAAAGAATCTAAGCCTCTCCATCATATTCTATGAGATTCGAAGTTGTTCTTCAAGGATCTTTGAAGATCTTCAGATCTTCGAATTTTCCAACTCTTTTCTTGAACCCTCTCCTACAAAGTGCTTCATGAGCAAAGGATCCTTGGTTCCTTCTGCTTGCTACAAGAAGTCCAATGGAAATTAGATATATGCTATGAACCATAAAAATTTATATTCAATTTTATTCCGAAATAAATCATATGATGTGAATTTAAAATTATTGAGATATGAGTCAGACTTAAAATGATTATAATACATAGATGTATTTTTCTAAGTAATATTTTTAAGTTTGTAGCATTGTTATAATAATTATTCCAAAAAGGTATGGCTTCTGTCCAGTCCGGAATCAGACTGGATCGTGCTGTTGGGCCCGTGGGGGCCTATCATGGGTCCCGTTTTGATAATCTGAACCGTTTAATGTGTAGAACTCGTCGAGTACTATATGTTTGTAAAAAATCATGTTGATCGGATATCGATAGCTATGTGATCAAAACAGTTTTTTGTCAACCGTTAATTTGTTCACCGTCCAATTTTTTTAATGCGAAACTGATTTGATCATATAGCTATCGATATCCGATCAACGTGATTTTTTATAAGTATATAGTAGTCGACGAGTTCTACACATTGAACGATTCAGATTATCAAAACGGAACCCGTGGTGGGCTCCCACGGGCCCAACAACACGGTCCAGCCTGATCCCAGACTGGACAGAAGCCATACCCTATTCGAAATAGAGCTAAACATAGTAGAGAAAGTCTTCCATATTCTTTTCCGATCTCATTTCTCTATTTGTATGGTAGAAGATAACTATTACATGACACACGCTCTATTTCTCTCTCTTTTCAAACACAAGCACAAGGATGAGACATGAAAACATACCTCGATTTCACCATCTACTTCAACTTATCAGAGTATTTCACGCAAACTTCTCCAACCCAAACCGGAAACTTGATGTAAGTTTTATATAATGGGATTATTTGGTGTAGTTTGGTGTGCTTTTTGCAAATTTATTAAGCAGAAATAATTTAATTAAGCTGAAAAAACTTATTTCTAAAAGCTGAATGATAGATAATTTTGACTTTTTAGATTATCTACTTTTGATTTGCAATAGACAACGCCCAAGAACACTGTTATAGGTGTAGATTTAGGCCTCGTTTGGGAACAGGCTAATTTAGTAACTTTTTGGCTATTTGGTTAAAAATGTAGGTAAAAAAAACTTGTATGTTTGGGATGACTTTTTGGCTAATTACGAAAAGATGTGCAAAAAGTAGAGAGAAAAGAGAATCTTTGACTTTTTGGTATCGGTTGTTGACTTTTTGGCTAATTTAATAACTTTTTGGCTAATTGACTAAAATAACCTCTTGCCAAACGAGGCCTTAGAGTTCTGCTTCTCCAATAGTTCGATGTTTCTTGCTTAGATTTACTTCAAAAGAAAAATGATGAAGGAGACAGAAATGGACACGGAATTCGTATAGACCCCCATGATTTTACATGTATATATTATCAGAACCATGTCAATGTCCTTTTGCTCCAGTCCATGGTTGTAAAATTCAAAGATTAAGTGCCATTCCTAATCACCTGATCCCGGAAAATGGGGGTATGGACAAGAGTCAAACTTGAGTTAATACCTTAGGGGTTGTGATATTGGAAAAGTCTATTGTCCCTGTCCCAAAAATAAAGGGGCAAGATTAGAATTTTACATCAATGGCCTTTGATTTGAAATTCTGTGTAAATTTCTGGTTTTATTTTCTGAATTTGTAGACTCACTGTACAATATTTGTTAATCAGCAATGTTAGGTATTATGAAAATAATCATGAAAACTTTGTAATCCTTGGATTATACTTAGAATAAAGCACCACACACAAATCAAGGTAATCCAAGGATCATAACTCTTTCATGATCATTTTCATGAAAAAAATTTCATGATCCCTAACTTTTTTTCTTTGTTAATAGGTCCAAGTGAATTCTGTGTCTACATTTTGTATTCTGCTTATGTGTTCTATAATAATAGAAAAGAAGGGAAATTAATATATGCATTTTGTAATATTTTTTGTGACTGGGAGGCTTGAGCCTTGATCAAAGTCAGAAGATGATACACGCACGCACGTGATCATAAAAGAAACTCTACATAAATCAGAAAGTATCCACTTGGGGAAAAAAAAGGTTGCATTTCAGCTCTTTTGGATGCAAAAATTGCCAATTATGATGATGCATGCAGGTACTTCTGTAATTTAAGTAATTATGATTATTATTATTATCATTATTTTTCAATGATAAGTGAATTATATTTAGTCTGTATTTGATTCATGAATTTAGAAAGAGAAAAAAGAAAACGATAGATAAAATATGAATGAAATATAGTTATACTCACGGCTGATTAAATTGTTTTTTACCAGCATTTTAGAAACGTCGCTAAAACTATCAAAAAACGCCGGTAAAACATTTTAGTGGCATTTATAGAAAGCGCTGATAACGTGACTATGTTAATTTATATATTAGTTTTAGATATATTAGATTTAGATTTATCTCCTTGTATCTCTATCTCTATCTCCTTGTATCTCTACCTCTCTCTATCTCCTTGTATCTCCTTCTATACTTATCTAAGTTTGTGTTCAGCCTATAAATACAGGCTCTCCTATTGTACTCAATTCAATACAATATACACTGATACACAGTTTTCCTTTTCTTTCAACCATTCTAATATGGTATCAGAGCTCTAGGTTCTACTAGGGCTAAGCATGGTTCGAATTGGACCGGATTGGGGTAAAACCAGAACCAATCCATTATCTACGGTTCCTGAAAAATTGGAACCAATCCAATCCGTTTAAATCATGGAACCAATCCGAACCAATCTATTTAAATATGGATTTGATCGGTTTAGGACCACGGATTCACATAATTAAATAACAAAAAAATATATATAACACTTTAATTTCATAAAAATATAAACATATCACTATATTAGTTCCACAATAGCAACATCTATTTCTATAATAGCGACATACTGTGCTAGAATTTAAACAACCATAAGAAAACTGGTTTCACCATAAATATTTAGACCATTACAAATTAAAACTAAAAACTAACAAACAAAAGTAATAAAAGAAGATATTATACGGTTTTAGGTTTGAGTTTAGATTTTATATAGAATAAGAGAAGATACTATGGGGGAGGATGTATAATAAAAATGTATACTATTTGTATACGGTCCGGATCGGTTCCAATGCGGAACCGTGGGGTTCAATCCAGAACCAATCCGTGTACTACGGATTTTTAATTTTTCAATCCGGAACCGAACCACAGATTCAAAAAACCAATCCAAACCTATCGGATTGGACTAGACTGGATCGGATTACGGATTTCACGGATTCCTTGCTCAGCCCTAGGTTCTACACCTATAGCCCTTTTATTTTCTCTTTATGCTTAGTACCGTACACAAGTGGTACTACAGCACTCATTCCACCACCTATACACTTTATTATCTCTGTTCCAGCACCAAACTGATCGGAATATCCTCACGATTCCAATGGTACCAACCACGTCACCAGAAACTCGTTCACGCGCCCTCACGCGCTGTTTCTGTGCTCGGCGCGTCTTTGCTTCCGCCACCACTCTCACACGCGCCTTCATACGCCCTTCAGTTGCCTACTCACGCCAACAATTGACGTCAGCCCTACGCGTGCGTACGCTCTTGCTCTCGTGCACCACACGTGCGCCGTCCTGTTACTGTGCACCCGCATGCAACTTCCTGCTACCGTGCACCCGCGTGCACCGTTTCTGCTACTGTGCTCCGCGCACGCCTCTTTCGCTATCGTGCGCCGCTCACCTCTTCTGCTAACGTGCGCCACGCACGCTGACGTCACTCCCTTCTTGCTAACGTCATCTTTTGGCCTATTAGGTGCATTTTTTGGCTATTTTTGGGCCAATTAGCTGCTCTCTAGCTATTTTCAACATTCCAGATTCATTGGGACATTCTATTTCACCCAGTTCTACTCCGTCACTATTGGGCCCTCTTTATGACTCATTCTTTGATCACTTCATGGATCATTTAGATAGTTCTCCTCTCTACGGTGGCTCTTCTGGATCTGCTGTTAGTCAACATGACTCTTCGATTCAGTTTGCTTCTGCTGTTGTTGCACTTGCCTCCTCTTCCACTCACATTGTTCCTAATATTAAAGCTATTATGCAAAAGGTTTTTTCCACTTCTGGTACACCTTTTACTGCTATTTCAGTCACCCCAGGTACATCTTCATGGTATTTTGATTCGGCTTGTTGCAATCATATGACCTCTGACCCTACACTCTTTTCTTCCACGACATCTCCTTTTAATTTACCTACCATTCTTACTGCTGATGGTTCTCACATGCATGTTAGTCATGTAGGTCACATTTCTACCTCTAATGTCTTTCTCCCTCACACTTATCTGATCCCTAATCTTACACTTAATCTTGTCTCTATTGGTCAATTCTGTGATCTTGGTCTCACTATTCTATTTTCTCCAGCTGGTTGTGTTGTGCAGGATCCGAAGACGAACCAAACCCTTGGGATAGGTCGTAGACATGGACGTCTATACGAGCTCATCTACCTTCACATTCCTTCCTCCAGTACTTCCAATGTTGAGACTATTGCTTCTGCTACTATTAGTTCTCCTCTTGCTTTATGGCATTCTCAGTTAGGCCATGTGTTCTTTGGTCGTCTACACTCTCTAGTTTCAAATGGTCAGTTAGGTGATGCTCCAAATGATAAAGTAGACTATCTATCTTGTCAACTTGCAAAACAGCCTGCCTTGCCATTTCCTACTAGTACCTCTATGTCTCATGCACCTTTTGATCTCATACACTCTGATGTTTGGGGGCCTTCACCTAATACCACTATGGGAGGATCTAAATACTTTGTTATATTTGTCGATGATTTCACTCGTTTTACTTGGTTATTTCTTATGAAATCTCGCTCTGAGTTACAACAAATATACTATGATTTTTCTCACATGGTCAAAACTCAGTTTTCCTCCGCCATCAAAATTTTTCGTGCTGATAATGCTCAGGAATACAAAGAAACTCAATTTTTGAAATTTCTTCGTCAAAATGGTACGCTTTCTCATTATTCTTGTCCTCGTACCTCCCAACAAAATGGTCGTGCTAAGCGCAAACATCGCCATATCCTCGACACTATTCGTGCTCTTTTAATCTCTTCTTCTTGTCCTGAACGTTTTTGGGGAGAAGTTGTTCTCACAGCAGTTTATACTATCAACCGTGTTACTTCCCCTACCATCAACAATCAAACCCCATATGAGCGTCTGTATGGCACACCTCCTACCTATACTAGGCTTCGTGTGTTTGGATGTGCTTGTTTTGTTCTTCTTCAACCACATGAGCGTACCAAATTAGAACCTCGTTCCCGTTTGTGTTGCTTCTTGGGATATGGGATTGAACATAAAGGTTATCGTTGTTGGGATCCTCTTTCTCGTCGTCTTCGTGTCTCTCGTCATGTAGTATTCTGGGAACACAAAATGTTCTCCTCTATATCTAAGTTTCATTTGTCCACTTCTCTCACTACACCATTCTTTATAGATCCCTCTCTTCTATTTGATAAGCTTGATACGGACACTATTTCTGACATGATGACTCTGACCCATCCTGAGGATTCTGCTCCGTCTCCTGGTCTTGCTGTTCTACTCTCTGATCCTGAGCCGGCTTCTGTACCTGCTCCACCTCTCAGTGAGCCTCATACATCCCTTGATTCCACTACATCATCTTCTACACCAGAGGTATCTCTTCATCATTCTACTGGGGTAACACAACCTTCTATACTTCTTCATGATTTCATTGTTGGTTCCACTATTGTTTCTTCTCATGAACCTACTTCCTATCAAGAGGCTTGGTCTAACCCTCTTTGGAAGCAAACTATGAATGATGAACTGCAAGCTTTAGATAAAGCTCATACCTGGGATGTAGTTGACCTTCCACCTAGCAATAGTGTTGTTAGCCACAAATGGGTTTACAAGATCAAAACCCATTCTGATGGTTCCATTGA